CCCAGAATAGATAGTGCTGCCATCACCACACAGTACACACATTATAATTATTTAATTTAGGAGAAGAACATAATCAAATCAAAGGAGAAAATGTAACTGAAACTGCAACTGTCTGCTGACAATGTATGACATGTGACACCAACACCACAGCTGCTTGTAACCCTTTATCATCAAGAGGAGGACTAAACTACTTCCCTATTTCTTTAAATAAAAATTTAAAGTGGCAAAGTTGCTAGACAAACCATAGTGGTTATATGAAACAACTACTTTCCTACATTCTACATCACCATATTTGCACACACTTGTTTGCTGTACACAGAACTCTTGTAGTCCCACAAAAGTCAGTATTTCTCATGTGATTTAGAGAGATTCTGCTGCATATTATACCGTTAGATCCAATAAGCACATCCAAAGTATGTGCTTATCCATATCTAAATTGGTGTTCAGCATTGCAACAGAACATTTCTCTTCTATAATAACCATTATGTTAATTTTACTAACATTTTCTTCAAGTCAGAAATATTGAAATTGCAAGACACAATCTAGACTTAATCAATGGAATAATATAATTATATTTTTAATTGGTTACTATTAAATTCCAGGCCAGACACTCACACAAATCAGTGTCTAAAGTGGACTGTTGTGCTATAATGATGTGACCACCTGAAAATCCAGTCCCAAGTACAGATAGCTGCTGGAAATAAGTTGTGTCACTTTGATCTGGTAGTCTGAGAAGTTAAGATTTTGTCAACCTTACTCATTCTGAGAATGATCTTACTTCCTGCATAGCCTCATCCTCTTAAAATAGAATGTTTGTATGCAGATACAAGAGAATAAGGTACTGTGTGATCTGTCAAAAAAATGTGACTGTTAATCATGTATATAAATGTATCTGTATTGAGCCAATATTTGTAATCATAAATCTTTTTTTTTAGCATTCCAGTTCATTCTAATAATAAATTTCAATTATTCAATGGACTTCAAATAAATTACTTGTCAACTACCAGTTCAATTAATTACAGAATGTATGCAGCAAATGCTTTAGGTGTACTCATCCAGGTCTAATACATACTTAGAAGTATGCACACTGCTTTCTAATAATTTTAATTAAATAAACCATTGAAGTCTTTCTTGACGTAGACAGGTAGTATTAGCATGTGGCTTGGTCTCCAAATTGAAAAAATACTTGTTCATACAGCCTAGCCCTGGTGACCGCTTTCCACCTCTGTGCTCTATTTGAAGCTTGTGTTATTCAGTTTACTACAGAAGCTGCCACTGCTTTATCAAAAGCACCTGAATGTTTCCTTTTGTTATTTCTGGTTCCCACTGATACCAAAATATAAAGAGTAGTGAAAAGGTCTGTGTTGGGATTCTCTGTGACAAATGGAATCATGCTTGATTCATTATTTGCTTTTGTGTGTGTTTATTTTAGTATATTTACATCCTCTCATGCCTCTTCAGGAAATACTGTTCATCATAAGTTTTCCCATTTTTGCAGAGTTAATTTTTTCAAAAAAGATGCCTTGCAGTGAAATTACACTTAAGGAATACTCTTAGTTGTGATCACACAAATTTGAAAGACTGCACAAAAAGGGTATGTAAGGGTAAAAAATTGAGCTTGCCAAGACATTCTCACATGAATAAGATCATGAAGATAAAGAGTGCAAAGCCACATTCATTGTTATCAAAATACAATATACTGGCACATATCTTGATCCATCTAACAAAACACAAAAAATGTATGTGGGAAGAGAGTAGCACAACTTGCATAGCCTGTGTTCCTTAATTTTGACTAGCAATTTTATGTGTACATCTTTGGTTCCAGCATACCAACAAGAGATGCAAGCATATGAAACTCTCTAACATATCCCCTAATGCTTCAAGGAAGTTCCTTGCCCTAGGTAACTCCTTTCAGAATGATTTGCTGCTAATAAAGCACACCTGTAACCCCAATTCTCAGCACAGTAACCACTTACAACCAGCACAGAGATGGTTTATCCTGTCAAACCTGTCAAAGAAAAAATTAATTCCATACAGGCTAATTGAGATAGCACATTCTATGCCTCTTTCTGCATTTCCACTGACTTTCTCCCACTAGCCAACTCTTAAGAATACAATACAGATTTGCTTTGACATCACTCCAGTAACTCATGGTAACACAGGCCACCACTAAAAGAAATTCCCAGTGGGTCATCTCATCCACACTTGGGCTCCCTCCCAACAGAGGGGAGCAGTGATGGGTTCAGGAAACTCGTGTCTGATATTGAACTAAGTAAACTGAGATAATCCTATGTGTTCTGCCATAGTCTGGATTTTGGAGCTGTTCAAACAGCTAAATTTGCCATGGTAATTTCTTCCCACCTGGATACACAGAGGATCTCATTACTAGACCCATGGTTAATCTTGTGTCCAATCTTTTCCCTCAATCCCATAAGAATAGCCAGTCTCTCAATAACCCAGAAAACAGAGCTCCCTGTTAATCAAAACCCCAACAGCAAAAAAAGGTAACTGTTCTTCTCGGAAAGGGAATTCCAGGGGGTAATAAAAGGCATGCTGAGAGACCAAAGCAGATTTCTCTGCTCCCTGGGTGCCCATCTGGAACAAGCTTGTCCTTTTTCCTCAGGATGGGCAGTGAAACTGGAGACAGCAATCCAGCAAAGAACTGGGGACATCCTGCACCTCCATCCCAACTGCCATGTGCCTCTGGGAAGGGTGGGTAGTTTTGTTAAAGGTAGCTTTGAAGAGATCAGATGTGAGAGCAGCCAGAAGATCATAGCTTGTCTTTCCAATAGCAGTGTCATTGCTACAGAAAGGGCATTTCTTCCAGGATATCACTCTAATATAATTTCCTATCAGATAACCCTAGCAGCTCTCCTGACTGCTTTGTGTCAGCATGGGAGGGAACACACAGAAACTCACCTCCACCATCATCTGGGACAGAGAAGTTACAGACAGTTAGGGATTACATTTTCAAAGTTGCAAAAAAAGGACTTGAAGATCCAAGTCCCCCTGAAATTTGTTGCCCTGGGTATCTTGTTCTAGGGATATATTCCCAATACTCAGCAAGCTTAAACATTTCCAATAAATATCTGAAAACAGACCATCTGGGATTCTCCTTTGTGATTTTCCTTTCCTTCCTTTCATCACGATCAGCAGACATTCCACTCTGGAATGAGTAAGCAGGGCTACATCTGCAAGCCAGCCTTCCAATCCAAAATGTTAACATTCAACTGAGGATCCACCTTTCTCTTTCTTTGCCATTGTCATGTTTGATATTCCTCAGTGATCTGTCCTAGATGGAACCTTCAGTCACATTCTGCTTTCAACTCTACTCTGATTCTTCACTTGAGAAGCAACTCTGTGAATCCTGCTGCTTTCGTTCCCACCCCTGGCCATCTCCAGCTTTCTCCTGACATGCAGTGCCCTGCTTTCTTGCTGCCTGACTGAGGAACCAACTCAAATGCAAAAGACTTTGAAGAGTATGAAAGAGTATGATTTCTTTAAATAGCCATGGCTTAGATCAGGAGTAGCAAAAAAAATGAGATTCAGGGTTTCCTGAGAGCTCAGTGGTGATGGGCTCATGCTTTGTCCTGCATTCCCTTAGCTGCCAGTCACAAGTCTTCCAGCCAGTTCCTGGAAAGCAACCAACTGATGGCGTTCCCACTTTGCTGTGGCCATAAACAATGACAGACTTGCCTTGTCTGGCACCGCTCTGCTGAGCCTTATCTGGATCCCATTGTAGTCCCTGATGGAGAAAGCACCATCCCACCTAATTCTTTGTATGTTGACTGTAAATGCCTGAAGCTATGTTTTGTATGAGGGAAGTGTCATGGAGGCTGTGACTTCCCTACTACTACTTCTGGCACTCTTGTGCCAATTGTCCATAACCCACTTTGGCAAGCTGGCAGCTTCCAGCACCTGAAAGCTGAAAATAGGAAAGGGCATTTGCAGGATAGTGATACGATGTATGCTTGGCTTTAAAAAGGATTACAAATTTAAAGCAGTGGAGAGCAAAAAGGCATACCAAGTATCACCATGGATATGTGACATTAAACAAACCACTTGTCATGATACACAGCTGACTACTTGCCAAATGGAACAGGATCTTCATATTATTCATTGCTTTGTCCTGCTAAACCTGCACACCAACGAAAAGAAAAAAAACTCCAGAAAGGTACTGTCACTTTTCTGACCATCCCTGCCTGTGTTGGAGATGCTTGTTCAGAGGCAATTCCCCCATCCGTCTACTGACATGCATTTGAAGACCAAAAGGTGAAATCATGATGGGCAACCTACTTAACTGCTGCAGGAAAGGGAGCTCTAGGATAAGGTAATTTCCTTGAAGCAACTCACATTCTTAAAGCTTCCTGTCCTGCCAGCACTTTGATTTCACCCCTTTCATCCCTTACAGCTGAGACATCAGCCAGGTATTTTCCTGGTATCCCATGACTGCCCAACTACTGCCACCTGTCCATGTAGCTTTGCCAAAGGATTGCACCAGCCACACAGAGACACTCATCCATCACACCTCAGGGCATCCAGGAGCCCAGCTCTGCCTTGAGTCTCCTTGAGATGGAGGCAGAGCTAACCATCCTTTAGGTTTTATAAGTCATTGCAGCCAAGAACCTGGTCCACCCAAAAGGGGGCAAGATGCTGCCACCTGGAGAGCCTCCTGAAGCATCCCATTTGCCTCACCTGCGCCTCCCCAGGGAGGCCCTCCTGCACTGTGCTGCATCCTTACAAAGCACGTGGAGGAGCAGAAACTCCATCTCAGCCTACACGATGGCCGTCTTGACTTCATATTCACAATGCTTTGTGCCAGGGGAGTGTCCTGCCTAGCACTGTCCTCTGCGTGCCCGTAGACGGCTCCAAGAAGAAAAACAAACACAGAAGCAGAAAGCCAGGCAAAGGCACTGTGGAAAAGTGGGCCACCATCCAGCACTTCCCTGTGGCATGCCTCCCCCAGCCCTTCAGCTCTTCCCTGCTATTTGAAGGGCAGCATGGCTTCCGTTCAGAACGAGCTGGTGGATCTGGAGCAAAAGGCAGGAGCGACGGCCTGGGGGGTGGGGGAGCGGCTTGGGTACGCGTGGCCCTTGCTGGAGCTGTGCAGCGAGGCACGGCTCTGCCGGGCAGGGGGAGCGATCGGGGACGTGCCCAGCCAGGGCGATTGCCCGTGCCCACTCGCAGCCCACACGTTCTGGGGTTTTTTTTCCAATGGAAACAATCGTAAATAACTGTAATAAACCGTACCACACCGGCCAAGGGCAAGAGTGGGTGGGCACTCGCCCTGCACAGCCCGGGTGGCAGCGGGCAAAAAACAGGAGATATAGGAACGTAGGAAGTGGGGAGCGTGCCGGTATCCCCACATACACCTCCCGCATGCGGCGCCCGTGTTTGTGGAAAAAGGCGGATTTCGGATCTCGCCTCCGGGAGAGGGGCCGGTCCCATGGACGCCCACGCGGGTACTGGGGCCTCACGCCGGCGGATCCGGGCACCTGCACCACGGCGGCGCCGGAGGGACGGACCTCGCCCTGCCCGGGCAGCGCTGCCGGAGCGCTCAGCCCCACTCGTGTCGGCGGCCGCCGCGCTGCAGCGACACGACCGGACGGGGCGCAAGGGGCAGCGGTGATGCCCGGGCGCGGGGCGGGACGTGGGCAGGAGAGCGGCCGAGGGGTGCGCGGGGTGCCGCTCCCGCCGCCCCGCCGCAGAGCCCCGCTTTGTTCCCGGGGGAGGCGCTGAGCGCAGGGTGCGCGGGTGCCTTCCCCACCGCCTGGCCCCTTCCCGCGTGTCTCCGAACACGCGTGTGCCCCGCTGCCTGCGCGCGCGCGCTGGGTGTTGGGTGCTCGAGGTTTGTTTTTTTTTCCCCTTTTCTTTCCCCCCCCTTCCCCCCCCCCCCCCCCCCCCCCGCCCCGCTTGCTCCAGGTTTTACTTCTGGTTGCCTGTAAGGGTTTTGCTCCTCCCTTCTGAAATCCTATATTAGCCGCGGCCAAAGCCGTGTAAGGAACACAGCTCATTGTTGGCAAGTGCCGATGCGCCTCGCGGAGGGGCGAGAACCAGCTCCGGGGCTGCGGCAGCGATCGCGGCGCCGGTCACGTCAGCGCTGGGGAGAGGGAGCCGGAGAAGCCCTCTCTATGCTGGGTGACTCTCGCTGACTGATTCCACCGCCACCTTTGAAGGAGAAGAAGAAAGAAGCCGGGAGGTGAGTGCGGCGGTTCTCGTGGTTGGTGCCGGGTGTCCCTTTTGTGTGCAACAGGAAAAACGTGACTGTATAAACACGCGAGGAAAGGTGTTTCTCAGCTGCCTGGCTTCATGTCCTTATCTGTGCATTACCGTATTTTCACCAACATAATTGGTACTTAATTCCAAAAGTTGCTGACAGCGGCTAGGTGGGACTTGCCAATTCTTTGCTTGTTCCCCGCAAGTTAGCGAGAGTGCCGTGGGAATCCGCTGCCTTCGAGGGCGAAGCTGGGGGGCTTGGGCGGCTCCGGGGCGTGCGGGGAGGCGGCGGCGGTGGCCGAATGCGACGCTCCCCGCCGATAGGTATGCGCGATTTGGAGTGGGAAGGCGTGCTGCCCGCCGGATTAGCGGAGGGGACCGCGATTTTCGTTCTGTGGGTTCTCCTTTTATTTTTCCTTTTGTACTCCATGGTGGAGCCACTGTAGATTTTTGGGAGAATTTTTAATTATTATTATTTCCTCCACCGGGAAGGAGAGATGACTGCAGGACCAGCCAAGTAGTTTCTGCCAGGGCTAGGCAGATGCAGCTGGTCCGGGAGAGGGCGGCTGGATGTCCGAGGAGGGTGTATTTTCCTAATATATTCACACGCTAACTTTCCAGGTGGGCCATGGCAGACCACATGATGGCCATGAACCACGGGCGATTCCCCGACGGATCCGGCGGGCTCCATCACCACCCTGCGCATCGGATGGGCATGGGGCAGTTTCCCACCCCCCATCACCACCACCAGCAGCAGCAGCCGCCGCAGCAGCACGCCTTCAGCGCCCTGATGGGCGACCATATACATTACGGAGCTGGGAGTATGAACGCGAGCAGCGGGGTGAGGCACGCCATGGGGCCGGGCAGCGTGAGCGGAGGGCACCCGGCCGGCAGCATGCCGCCCCCCGCCCGCTTCAGCGGCTCCCAGTTCATGCCCCCCCCCGTCGCCAGCCCGGGAGGGCAGCTGAGCGCCAGCATGCAGCTCCAGAAGCTGAACAACCAGTACTTCAGCCACCACCCCTACCCCCACAGCCACTACATGCCGGACTTGCACCCCGGTAGCCACCAGCTGAACGGCGGCAGCCAGCAGCATTTCAGGGACTGCAACCCCAAGCACGGCGGCGGCGGCGGCAGCGGCTTGCCGCCCGCCGTCCCCCACGTCCCCGCGGCAATGCTGCCGCCCAATGTCATAGACACGGACTTCATCGACGAGGAGGTCCTCATGTCCTTAGTCATCGAAATGGGGCTGGATCGCATCAAGGAGCTTCCCGAGCTGTGGTTGGGACAGAACGAGTTTGACTTCATGACAGACTTCGTTTGCAAACAGCAGCCCAGCAGGGTGAGCTGCTGATTCATTTAAAACAAACAAAGGACTTTTATCGGTGCGAATGAAAACATTCCCCTAGACACGGTGTCTCACTTTTCAGGGCTTGAAAAGGTGAGAATCTGGAAAGCAGAGTCAACTATGCGCTTGTATAATTTTTTTTTTTAATCGCTGCCATTTTTTTTTTCTTTTTGTAGCTTTGTCACTCACTTCCCCTCTTGTAGTAATAATATCTAAAGAACTCTGTCTTTTTATGTTGGTTGCCCCCCTCCCGACCTCCCTCTCTTAATTTCCTCGCAGTAACATGCCCAGAATTCCCACAGTGCCGGACTGTTAGATATTAATCTTGGCAAATTGCTTAATCTTGTGGATTTTGTAAACTATGATTTCCAATGACTTGAACTGCATTCAAATTCTGAGTGAACAGGGAAAAAAAAATTGCATTAGTTGGTTGCATGAACTTTGAAGGGCAGATAATACTGCACAAAAGCTGCCATCTTGCTTAATTTTTAACTATGCATTGCAGTGCAGACTAATTTTTTTTTTTTTTTCTGAATACGCTAAACTGGAAGCTTAACAGATGTGGGCCAAACCTTTCCAGATCAGGAAAAGTAATACTGTTACTTAAAAAGTCTGCTACCCATTCCCCCTCCCCCATATGTACAGACAATAATATGGTGTGGATGGAATGTTGACTAGTGGCAAACATTTCACAGATTTTTTTTTTTTTTTTCTGTCTTCAGCGTTTTGACACTGTGCTAATATAGTTTATTCAGTACATGAAAAGATACTACTGTGTTGAAAGCTTTTCAGGAAATTTTGACAGTATTTTTGTACAAAACATTTTTTTGAGAAAATATTGTTAATTTATTCTATTTTAATTTGCCAATGTCAATAAAAAGTTAAGAAATGCTTTAGTTTTTCTAGAAGTCATTTACCAGTATTTTTCTTCAAAACTCTTCCCCACTGTCCCTGGTAATAGAACATAACATCTATCTGTACAACCGTGTTGGTGTGCAAAAAGACATTCCAAGATAGAAAGTACACTACGCCCATATATATGTCATGGTGAACTTGGTAGGTGAGCGGGATTTGAACATACTTACAGCATACAGCCTCATGCGTTACATTGTAATATGCCTGTCAGTGTGGTTTTCTGAAAAATAAAGTTGCCAAGGGCGCAACTTTTTTCGTGACTTGCCAACATACTTGCTTTAAATGTAGTTGTCCAGAGTTATGATGCATAAAGTATTTATTATATTTATCTATTAAACTTGTAATTTTATAAATCTGCTTTCATTTATATAGTAGACTTTGTTCTTTTGTATATTCATTATCTCACCTGGAAGAGCTATGTAAAAAGTGTTTGTAACATGGGAAGGGAGGGTGGTGGGTGTCACCCTCTGCCTCTCTCTTACTTCACAGGGTAACCCAGGATATTGCTGTATCAGTCCAGATCTGCATGACACTGGAACCAGTTTTATTTCATTTCCAGTGACTTAGGAGAAGGGGAATATATCATTGAAGTACTCCACAGTGAGACATCTCTGACCCCTCTCCCCCAGAAGTTGTTGCCAACTGAAGCCACTGACACAAATCCATACAGGTCTATTTAAAATATTTCAGAGAAAAATGCCCATTAATTTAAGGCAGCTGACATTTAGTGCCAACTGTTGCTGCCTTCTGCCCTCACTCAGCCTTTGGCAAAGCTCCTGCACAAGTTATTAGTTTGGTGAGGGCTGTGGGATCAGGACCCTAATAATACATGTAATCCTGTTTAGCCACGCTTCCCAAGTTCGACAGAGGAGCAGTACCACTGAGCCTTCTTTTTGCTTACTTTTTAATCCTTGTCTTCTGAATTAGGAAGAAAAACAGCATGGTGGATGTAGTTAAATTTTAAACCTGGTCACGTTAACAGGAGGATATCACCACACAATGGGAGTGTAAATAGCAGTGTTTTGAATCAAGCTGGGAAATTAAAGTGATTACTATTTCTAAGATTGCCCCAGCTGGTGAGAAAAGTGATACTTGTCTTTCTTCTCCTTACAGACACAAAGCAGCTAACATGTTTATGGACAAAAAAAAAGAAAAAAAAAAAAAAAGGTAAATATTCAAGTATTAGCAAGGGTAAAAAGAAGGAAGTGTATGCTTCCTGGAAAAACTAAGACAACAAAAATGCACTCTGCAGGCAGTGACAGTCCATTCCTAGAAAACTCAATACCAAGAACTTAAAAAAAGCAGCCTTCTGGTTTCAGCCAGTGATTGCTACTGTTTTGTGACAGTAAATTTTGCATCAAATGACAGTAAATCATAACTTACCAACTCACCAATAACGTAAAAGACTGTTTAGAATACAGCTGTAGTTTTAAGAGCCATTGCCCAGTTTGCCACTATATAAATCCTTTCTCCATTTTAATGCTGTTTGATCTGCGCACATTTCATTGCCCTCTTCTGCAAGAGTTAGGGAGGGTGATTTTTCTGATTCTAATCAACTTCTTGTAAAACAGACTATCAAATTATGTGCATACAAAATTGCATAGATGTTTAAAGCCTCAATGATCTTCTAAAACCAAAGGGAATACTCTCACTTTAATGATAGGCACTTTTGCTTCATAAAGTTGGTTAAACAACAGATTCTTCAGCCGAGACATCACTACTTAAGTCTGTCAACATTAAATCCTTCCATGCAAGATTTTCCAAGAGTAGGCAGTTCCATGGGCACACTGGTAGAGTCTATTTGCGTACAACTCCATGTAAAACTGAGAGCTGCTGCCTCTGAGTAACAGCAGCTACGGCACTGGCTTTGGGCAAGGCATCGCCAAGGGGTTTTATGATTTCTTAAAAGTAGACTCTGGGGAAATTTGCCAAACAATCATAATGTCTGCCTTGTCTCTTAATTTTTAATGAAGAGTCAGATCCCAGTGGATACCACAAGTGTGTATTATTTTATTCATTATATCATCTACTGAGCAATATTGGGGGCCTGACCCTCATCTTGCCAACACGAACCCCGTGGCAATGCTCCCACTGGCTCCCATGGCTGAGGCAGTAACAAGCTTTCAAGCAGATTCTCTCTGTCCTCCACACTGCTTCCAAACAGACTAAAGTAATTTATAATTGGAACCCAGCAATTAGTGAAGGATGCACAGTGACCCAGTTTTCCAGTTCCTGACGAAGGACACTGCCGTCTTGCGTCCCGCTAAGTTGCTGTCAGCACAGGAAACTTGACCTCTGTACGTTGGCTGTTTTTCAAGAACTTCCAACACGGTACATGAGATCTGCTCCTCTTTCAGCCACGGCCATAAATAGACGCGCTGCTTTATTTGGACGGGAGATCAGCCCCAAGCCGGCCCGCCACGCAGCGGTGGGAAATAAGGCACAGATTGACGCCGTCCTCGTCCTTGTTCCCCGGGAGTGAAGGATTCCCGGGTGGGCGCAGCAGGGGCAGCTGCCCGCGTTCCGAAGGCCCGGCCCGGCCCCTCAGCCACCTGCGCGGGGCGGCCGCGGCCCCCGCGCGCCCCCCGGCGGCGGCCGCGCGTTGCGCTGCGCCCGTGAGGGCGGGGGCCGAGAGCCGCCCGAGCCGGGACCCTCCGCGCTCGCCACGGGCCGCGGGGGCCCGGGGCCCGCAGCGAGGCGTG